TATATATATATATATTATCGATAAATATTAATAAATTAGTGAAATATGTTAGTAGGGGATATTGGAACTCAATCTTTCCTTAATATTTGAGTCCTATAATCCTTCTCTAACACTATTTATATCATTTTATAACTCTTTATACATAGTATTATTTTCAGTAATATTATATGTGTGTATTACATGTTTCAAATTTAATTTTAATTTGATTTTATAAAACTTAGACTAACACAAGAAGATAAACTATATGTAATTGAATAACTTGATTATAATTTGGAACTATATCAAACTTTCGATTAGAATAAAAGAATAAAAATATATTTTATTATTGTCATGTTTTTATATATAAGACTTAAATATTTAATTCATTAAAATTAAGAAAAATAATTAATATAATTAATAACAATAAATTTATCATATTTTTAGAATTTTTTTCAAAGTTATTCTTATATAATTTTTCTCTCTTTATTAATATTATTTTATACTCTTTTTTAATCAATTAAAATACGTGTTTTATATATTACTTATCTTGTCTAATTAATAATGTTGTCTTTTAACTAGTTAAAGTGTATAGTTTTTTTATTAAAAAAATTATAATTAATATATATCATAAAATTGGGATAATATATTTTAATCTAAAAATTATTAATACATAAAAAATACGGATTGAAACATATAAGAGAACAAATTATTCCAACTTCCAACTAAAGTAATATATTTTATCACACACTATACTGATTATGTAAGAGAAAAAAATTTGATGGAAATGTCAATACATACGTTAATTCAATCGTGTGATTTTAAGATGTACCGTATAATATAGCTATGCTGTAAATAATTTTTTATAACATTTATTTATGCTAATTATTATATTTTAATTTAAATATTTAAAATAAGATAGAAAAATTGAATTTAAAATAAGATATGAATTTATTAAAATTTATAAGTATAAAATATATTTAATTAATATGAATATTTTTTAATAAAAATAAATAAAAATCGAGTTATGCGGTTCAACTAGTGACCCGCCAGTTCAACCTTTGACCCACTGACCCAGTATCTTAACCGGTTCGACGAACGGTCCGGATTTTAAAACTATGACTCCTTACGTCTCACAATAATTAAAAGTTTTTACACATGTGGGCAATAATAAATATACAATTTTTTTAAACAATTTTACTAAAGTAGTCTTTAAAATATGGAAGTTGAATAATTTATGAAAAAATAAATTAAGAAAATAATAATTAATATTATATTACAAAGTAAAAATATTCATTTTAAAATATTTTTTAAATATTAAAATTGTAATTATTATAAAAGGGAAGAAATATTAGCAACATTTTTTTAATACTTTTAATTATTTTCTAAAATAAATTTGTTGGATATAAAATTTTTTATGAGTTTTGCATATTATTTAATGTGCATTTTTCTTTTTTCTTTTTTATTAAAAGATGGACTAAAAATCCTATTATGTCTTTAATTAAGTGATAAAATTTAAGTTTAAATATATTGTTAGTCTTTCAAATTTAAGGTAAATTTATTTTTGATCCATCAAATTTGAAATAAGTCTTTTTAGTCCCAGTAATTTAAAAAAAAAATATTATTTTAATTTTTATACTCAAATTTTATTAAAAAAGTTATTAAATACTATTCATCAAATTTATCTACTAGTATCCTTATTAATGAAAACAATCACATTGAACTTAGTTAATATACTATTAATGACTTAAAAGACTAAAATACTTTTTTTTTTTAAATACAAATATTAAAAATAATAATTTTAAATTTAAGGATTAAAAATAAATTTAAATATAAAATTTATGATTTATAACTCAAATAATAAAAATGTCAACAAAAGAGTATTAGAAACAATTTTGTTAAGATTTTTCTAACTACTTACTATTAGTTAAGATACAAAAGAATAATATCATGAAAAAGTTAATCCCTAAGTATGATATTTATTAATTAATTAGTCAGTTGGGTTTCTTTAAAAAAGTTAAATCCTTATCATAGTGCCCCGACATTTCCAGAAGACAGAATCATCATAATATAAAGGATTTTTTAAAATTATTTTTATATTAATGAGAATTTTATAGTGTGCTAGCCTGAAAATAGGTACACCATGCCTTGAAGGTTAGTACGTAGTTTGGGTATGGTTTCCTTAACAATGTAATTAAACTTAGAGGTTAAAATGAGACACCCGAGCAAATTATAATACTTGAATATATATATATATATATA